GGCTTCTAGGGATGGAGACTGTCCCTCCAGGTCCTGGCCCATCTGAAGTACGGCCTCTTTCTAACCTCAGTGGTACATGAAGTGGGCTGGGCATGCCTGTGTCCACATGAGGCACGCCCCCAATGCTCACAGTTGTCCTGGAGCTCCAGCATCCTACCTGTTCTTGCTGATTTGGAGAATGTGCTGTTTAAACATCCCTCAACCAACCAGTCCCAGTGACACGCCAGCTGGACCATCAAGTCATGAGGAGGGAGCAGTACCACCATCGCCGTGTGTCCAGTGCTGCCTTGGAGAGGGCACGGGCCCTCCCACAACATGCTCCTGAGTTCTCCTGTGTGCTGTCACAGTCCCTTGTGCCCAGGTTGTGCTTCACAATGCCATGCTTCTCCACCCACTGCAGCTCTGCCCATGCTGTGGGCGCCCATCACTCTTGCTGTCCGTGGGCCACTGTCCATGTGCTGGTGATGGCTGCTCTCACTGCCCCCAGGGCTGTTGGGTGGGTCTTAACCAGGTGTGTGCAGACACCCTTTCCCTTCCCTCATGAACCTAGTTCCCTCCTCCCTGAAGAGGGTTTCTGTATGTATGTGAGAGAGATATGACTCATGATGATTTACATGTTTTTTTAATTACACTGATTTACACTGTTTAATTTGCATAAGCCTTATTCTGAATTTTTTAATGATCCAAAAGACTCTGTTTTCAACATGTAGTGTTCTGTTGCTTTTGTGGCCTGTGAGCTTCTATTCAGTCAGCAAAGCTGTCATGGGCCCTGGGTCAGAAGGGACACTTTGCTCCCCATAATGTGTGAAACTGTTCTGCGGTTGCTTTCCAGCCCAGGGAGCTCGGTGATCACCAGTCCCCCTGCATCCCTCCCAGCACCTGGAGACATGGTGTGGGCACAGGGACAGTGGAGGAGGGATGAGGAGTGTTTGGGTGCAGCACCAAGTGATTTTTGGCACAAGTGATTATAAGCTATTTGAAAGTTGAATTTTAAGTTTCAGAATTTGAAGTGATTGCTTTATTGTTAGGTGTAGTTGTAATTACACACCTTTTGGTGAAATGTGATCCAGAGTGAAAAGCAGCAGTCTAGGAGCTGATACATCTGCTGCATCATGGCGGTTGGCACTGGGAGATCTTGCTCTCTGGGTTCTCCCTGTAGCTAGAGGGAAGGAGGTGCCTGTCTCATCTTTTATGGGGATGAAATGGCAAAATGGCAGCATAAGCACTCTTTGACAACATCTACAACAATTGGTTGTTTATAAAGGTGGCAAGGATAACAAGTCTTTTAATAGTCCTTTTAAATACTGAAAATGAAAACCACAACATTCCAAGTGAATTGAAACCATCCTTTGTAAAGAATGTAAAATAAGCAAACTTTGAGCCCTACCCCGAACTCGTATTTACTGATTTTGCAAGACTGAGAAGTTCTTATTTAGGTTAGACATCTGTTAACGGTACTGGGAATGCATTAGCGTTGGGAGTAAAATCCAGGGCCATCTTTAGGGTCACTTGGGGAGAGAAGAGGTTGCAAGTGAGGATGAGGTCAGGCCTGGGAAGTTCCTCACTGGGGTTTGTGGAGGTTCCAGCAGGCCCTCCCAATGTATTGAAAGTGGTGTCAGCCTTGTCAGGAAGTTGCTGTCCTGAGCAGGGTGTTCTGTCTTCTAGAGGGTTCCAGAGCCACCCAGACTTACATTGCAAGCTGGCTATCTTGACAGCTCTGTTGGTTACAAAGAGATCCCAGCTTTGTTGTTTGGGTGGAAAGCCTGAGGTTTCAAGAGGCCAGTTTTAAAATCTTATTTAAAAATCATGGAACGAGAGAATGAGCCTATTTACAGTGCAATGATGAAACAGAAATTGTGTTACCCCATGTTACCTGAAGGTAGAGCTGTGTGGACTTTATATACAGGAATGCAGATGTTCACTGTTCTGGTTTTAATGGTGACAATCTGGAAACTACCTAAATGCCCATGAATCATAAATTGGATAAGTAAGTTATTTTAGGTTCATTAGTATCATACAATGCAAACCCTCACACCTACACATATATAATTTTATATAAAGACAACTATTTTGGCATGATCCTGTATACATTGTTTTAAAAATGTGGTAAAATGCACATAACAAATTTACCATTTTAAATATTTTAAGATGCACAGTTAGTAGCATTAAGTACAGTCACATTGTTGTGCAGCCATCACCACTGTCCATGGTGAGGACTTTTAGTTCCTTCATTTTTGCATGGTTTGAATGTCTTACAAGAATGTATTGCTTCTAAAGTAAAAATTAAGTAAGAGTACAATCCAAGACTTTGCTCTAGCTTTCACGCTGGATAAGCTACTAGTCATGTGATCCTGAAGGGTTTGGGGGCAAAATAAGACTTTGAAAACTAAACCATGTGCTGCGTGTTGTTCCACAGATTAGATAATGTACTGCTAGATACTGACAGGTTTCAGTGTGGAAGTGTGAGTAATACAGCTATTCCAAGAAGTATGATGGTCTGTGTAGAACAGACTTGACGTTGCCAAGAGCTGTGTGGTGATTACAGTCATGACATATCTCCTACTTGTCATGGTAGCCTCCTGGTTCCTACAAGGGCTTCCAGGCACACTGCTGTTCTATGAGCTAGGTCGATGGGTTCTGTGGGAAACACCAGTCAGTAGTGTTTACTCAGTTTATCAAAGAACTAACAGCATTTTTTCATGTTAAAGTTTTTTTTATAACTGTCCTAATTGTATTTGCTATTGCTTAAAAAAGAAAAACATTTAACTGGAAAACTGGAACTAGTTCTTTCTGTTTTTTACTTTTGTTTCTGTTGGTTGTGGCATATTTTGTTTGAGTATTTGTGCTTCTGTGTGTGAGTTTAGAGTATATCCATAACACAGTCACATTTGCTGCTGCCAAGGGGCTTCCTCGGCCCATGTGCTGGAGTTACACACATTCCCCTCCCTAGGTCTGTCATCCATACACTGGCTCACGTATCATTATCATTTGAGCTTCTTTGCTGAAGTGTGGCAGGTACCACAAAGAAGGTCTCCCTTGAGTTATGGTTTTAAATCTAGAATGCCTTATCCTTTTAAAATGTTGCTTTACGAGCCAGGTTCGGTGGCTCAGCCTATAATCCCGCGCCTTCGGGAGGCTGAGGTGAGTGGATTGCCTGAGCCCGCGGGTTCGAGACCCGCCTGGGGAGCGAGACCTCATCTCTACAATAAATAAAAAAATCAGCCGGGCATGGTAGCGCATGCATGTAATTCCGGCTACTTGGAAGGCTGAGGCAGAAGGATCGCCGGAGCCCAGCAGTCGAGGCTGCGGTGGCTGGGAGCGGCCACTGCACTCCAGTCTGGGTGACAGAGATTCCAACTCAAAAAAAAAAAAAAAAAATTAAAATGTTGCTTTACTCCTGGCCAGCATTACACAGGGTACCACACATCATGTAAATAATTGTGGAATGAACTGGAAAACAGAATCGCTCTTTGAAGAGGTTTGACTTCAAAATGAATGCTGCCATTAGAAAGGGCTAGAAATGAAAAAACTTACTTTCATGTGTGAGTCTTATTGTAATTCCTTTAATTGGTAGTTGTGACTCCGTCTAAAATTCTGTATAAATTATGATAATCTGTGCATTATTTTAATACTTTGCCTTTCCATTGTCCTTGGTGCTTGGTCTAGACAGAACATGTGTGAATCATTTCTTTTTTATGATTCTGATAGTGTGATATCACTGAAAGTGACTTGAAAAATACTTGCAGTTGATGTCTTCCAAATTAACCTAATTTGTGTTTCACACACACTTTTTAATAAATTAAATAAAAATACTTTATTGTCACCATTTATTCATTGATATTAATGATAATTCTTTGTGATTCACTGGAGCTTAAAACAGGAAAATAAAAGATGCCAGTATCTGTAAGTTATACTTAGAGAGAAGAAACCTAGGAGTATGTGCTTATACATCCATGAAGTGTAGACCTTCCATTAGAGTTGTCAGATACTGAGTATCTACTTTGCAAGATACCCAATACCATGTTGAATGGTGTTTAAAGATGACTGGTTTTGAGAAGCAAACCAGTCATGAGCTCGGAGCTATGACTCTCATGAGCTTGGAGCTGTGGTGCTCTGAGCTATTCTGGGCTGCCACCCAGAAGCTGGGGAAGGTGTCAGGTGCCTGCAGACTGTCCCCTGTACCCATCACCCCTCACACCTAGAAAATGCACTTGGATTTTTGAAATTAAATCATTTTAAACTTTCTAAAAAGTTGACTCCTTAATAGGAAACTCTGTCAGGGTCCCTTTTCCAGTACAGTTCATGGTGTGGAGCAGACGTCTCTGGAGGTGGCTGCATGTGAGGGATGAAAGGGTTTACTGCCGAGTCTTGCGGATGCTTCCTGCAGAGTCAGTTTAAATAGTGTATGTGTACTTTCTTTTTGTCTGTCTAGTGTTTTTCCTTACTGTAACCTTAAAATGTGACATTTCAGATATTGTAAATAATCAAAATTTATTTCCAAGGTAGGTGAAGGTGATACGAAGTGATCTCTAATACACAAGCTTACATTTATGGAGGGTATTATCGATAGGAGCCTGGTATCAAATTTCACTTTAGCCCCTTATCTCAAAAGTGATTTTGCCTGACAAGGTCATGAGCATTCAGTGAGTACATATTATATAAAATGCCCGGAACAGTGCCTGGCACATAGGAGGCACTACACAAAGTTCTTGTGATCAAATGATTAGAAAGGGTACAACACAGTGTGACTAATGTCATGCCATTTGTTAAAAGAAGTTGGATAAATCCCTAGAAATGAGTGGTAAGATGATTCCTGGGAGAATGAACAAAACTGGAAAGGTTCTTTGGGAAACGGTAGATCCTAGGGTAAAGGGGGAACCTGTAGTTCATTAGCTCTTGGGTTGTTCTTCTATTAATCATATATTAATTTTAAAAATAATGCCATGTTTCCAGTAGTTTGAGAGATTCTGCTGTAAAACAAAAATCTATATTCTTTCCAGATGGCCCTGCTGAGGCGCCAGTAACCAACGGGACCGCACCCGCGCCAACCCTGAGTGATGACCTGGACATCTTTGGACCCATGATTTCAAACCCCTTACCTGCAACCGTCATGCCTCCAGCTCAGGTACGTAAGATCGGGGTTTGAAAAGCTTCAGAATTTGTTTGAAAGAATTGTTTCTGAGCAGTCACTGATCAGAAAGCCTCCTGTCCATGCCAGGGCCTTGCCAGCCAAGCCGCAGTGTGATTTTGCAAATGAAGTGCAATTGGTACACGGCTACTCCCGTTGGTGTATGTGTGACCTGTGGCAGCAGAGTAGATGGTACCATGGAGCCTGTGTGGCCCACAGTGCCTCAGATGCTGTCTGTGTGGCAAGTTCTGACCCTGCTTTTGCAGGGTTTAGGATGTGTTTAGGGCAGCAGGTGGACCGCAGCTTCCACCTAAGCTCAGTAGAGAGCCACATGAGCAGCAGCGTGTGTGGCTCCCACATTAAGAGGTGGGGCTGGCCCATGGCCTTGGCATTCCAATGCAGACCTGGCAAGGTGATAGGGGTAATTTCTTACATCATATCTAATTCTTTTTTCGGAACATGGGTTTTAGATCAAAATTGTACCAGTTATATTGAGCTCCATAAAATACTTGATACACAGAATTTTCTTTCATCTTCACATGAAGAAGGCCTTTTCCCATCTCATCTTCCATGTCCAGACTCCAACAGCATCGAGACCTGCATGGGCACGAGTCCCTTTCTTGCCTGGTTCAGCACGGGAGTATCTGAAGTCAGAGAGCCTTTGCTTAGGGGCTTTACGGTGTTTTGAGTATAAAATGACAGGCAGAGGCTTTCTCCTTTTGTCCTGGGTCATGGTGCTGGCCCATGGAGCACTGGAAAGTATATGGGCCCTGCTGTGACTCTGCCGCTTCTAGACACTGTTGAGGTCAACATTCTGTGTCATCTACCTCTATCAGAGAGCATGCCTGAGGTTTGGAGCATGTGCATATAGTCAGGTGTCCCACTGTGGGGCTGGAATCAGGGTCTTCTTTGAATTTTCTCCTATCCATAGGGAATAGACTCCAAGGTTGTGAGCAGATTCTTAGATTGAACAGTCACTCAAAGTGATGGAAAGATCTCCTAGTGATATTGCTTTGCTACCTAACATTAACAGTGAACCAGATGCTGTGCAAAGCATGTATTGTGGCCACCAGGCGGAAAGGGACTGCATGGAGAAATTTAGTGACATGGCTGAGGGCCACTATGTCTGGGCCAGGCTCTGGTCCTGCTGGCCAGCTCCCACCTATGCTCTGGGCTCTGATCTTCTGTGTCCTCGCTGGTGGCTTAGACATATTTTATTCAAGGGCACTGTTATGTTTGGTATTTTGTTATGTCTAATTTCTTACACATTTAGGAGTTTTGCAAAATTAGGTGGCTTTTTCATTGTATCTCATAGCTCTTGCTTAATTAGTCATAATAGATTCAAAATCTTATTCTGCTGACATTTGTTTGTGAGTGGAATGCTTGGATGGTAATTTATTGCATGGTGTTCTAGCACATGGACCTTACATGTTTAATTTGACTTCTGCTTTCTACTCACCTTATTCTATAGTTTGAGAAGAATCTTAGCCAGCTTTCATTAATCTTCATAGAGTTCTTTGAAACTCTTTTCATGATGAAAACAAGTCCACATAAGGTAATTTGATTGAATAGTTAGTGACTGCAGAGGGCATTAGTAATGGTTGACAGTTATGATTGTAGAATATTGTGTGCAAGACCAGGAGATGAGGAGAGAATCCCTGTCTTACATGAAACACCCACCAGTCATGTGCAGTTGTGTGGAGCTGCCCCTCGCAGGGAATGCATGCCGGGCACGGTTGCCAGCATGCGTGGTCAGTGTTCCACTGTGCTGTGTCTGAATGGATGAGCCATGTTATGGCCTTGATGAGGGGCATGAGGGTGTTATAGTGCAGCTTTGGAAAAGCCAGACCCTCTGCCATCCACTGTCGCTGGAGAAACAGTCTTTATTCCAGGGGATTCCAGCTTCTTCTAGTGGGCAGGGCTGAGGCATTGTGTCCCAGGCAACAGCACATGGCCACCATTGCATGGTGCTCCTGAACATGCTTCCATCTCTGAACATGCTTCTGTGTGACCAGACTCAGTAGGAAACACTAGGCCTTCCTCTGGGCAGTTTTGGGTGTACCAGGGAGCCTCCTGAATATCCCCCATCTTACCTTCCACGGTTGACCTCCTCTAGAAGGCAACTAGGAGGTGAGTTCTGCCTGCCTGTGTAGAATTCAACAACCTGTTTGTGTTTGTCTCAGGGGACATCCTCTGCACCCACAGCTGCCTCCCTGTCTACGGTGACATCTGGGGACCTGGATCTGTTCACAGAGCAAACCACAAAGTCAGAAGAGGTGGCCAAGAAGCAGCTCTCCAAAGACTCCATCTTGTCTCTGTACGGCACAGGGACCCTCCCACAGCAGAATGCTCCCGGTGGGTGCCTCGAACCTTTCTCGCAGGGCGTCCCTAGGATTACAGTCTTTGTCATCAGAGCTTTGTCTGTTCTAGTACTTTCTTTCTTTTCTATGGAGTAGTACTTTTGTTGTTTACATAACTGTAAACAGAAATGAACAAAGCTTTAGAATTAACAAGGAAGCATGTGCAGGAGTCACAGGGCTTTATTGAGTTAGAATTAACAGGCTTTCACATGCCATGTGTTTCAGAGCTTATAGGCCAGGGATTCTCTTTGAGGAATTGTCAAAACTCGATTTGCATGAAGTTGACTGTGGACAATTTTCCCTGCAGATCAGTAGTAAGCAGCCTGAGTAGTAAGCAGAGCTCGACAGAGCTCTGAACCTTTTTTGTCCTTAACAAAACACTGGCCTGAGATATATTTTTCATACATCATTTTCTGAGTGGTGCGCTGCATTTGCATGTAAGCTAAACTTGCACGACAGCACACAGCCTCCACGGAGGCCAGAGTTGGGCCGCCCTCCCTGTTTGCGGTGTCAGGGGCCATAGCACAGGTCACATGACAGCATGTCTCAGGCTGCATGTGTGGGCTTCACAGTGGAAGGTGTTTTGAGTAGCTGTCACGTAGATTTGTGTCTCTTGGTAGAATCTGCTGGGGTTAGTAACTGGGTTGTCTGCACTCTGGAGCAGCCATCCTGGGGTTAGGCGTGGAATGCTCTGAGCCACAGGAATAAACAGGGAGTCCAGAAAGGCATCCCCCATGCTGCCAGCAGTATTGAGCCATGTGTGCTGCCTGCCTGCTCACTTGCTCTCTCTGGTTCTTGTGCTGCAGGTGTTTTCATGGGACCCACAAACATGCCGTTTACCTCACAAGCGCCAGCTGCGTTTCAAGGTTTCCCACCACTGGGAGTGCCAGTGCCCGCAGCTCCCGGCCTCCTGGGTCCCGTGATGGGGCCCAACGCAGGTGTGATGGTGGGTGTGCCCATACCCAATGGCTTCATGGGCGGCACACAGACGGGCGTGATGCCACTCCCACAGAACGCTGCTGGCCCCCAGGGAGGACTGGGGACCCAGATGGGTGCACCCCAGAGCAAGTTTGGCCTGCCGCAGGCACAGCCACCTCCATGGGGCCTCTCCCAGGTAGGTCCTTTCCCCTCCCCTCCCCCATGTCAGAGCAACAGGCTTGTCTTCCAGGTGGCTGTGTCTCACAGGAGTCCGGCAGGGGTAACGTTGCAGATGGGCCATAAGCAGATGTTAGGGGTGAGTGTAGACAGATGGTATGTCACTCTCTCTAGAGTGTTTGCAGAGAAATGTCAAGCACCATTCATGTCCAGTTGTCACATGACCAGAGTGGTGAATGTCCCAGATCTGTTAATAGTTGGGAAGTGTCTTGGGCATCATGAGACACCCTCGCCGCCACCTTGAGGTTGGCACCAAGCCTTCCCCAGTGCACCAGCGGGTGTTTATGGTCCACTGAGACCAACTCATACAAATAATTTTGGGGGTTTTGGTAACTTATAAATCAGAAACACATCCAACCCCGTATTCTCAAAGAACTTAGTTCACGAGGGATCTAGGCTGCCCCCACCATGTGGTTCCTGTCCATGGTTTGCGAAAATTCTTTTTGTTCAAAAACCTTTGTGAATTTGTAGTCTCTTTTTACCCACCCTGTAATGACATTTCTGTTTAAGAGTACCCCCTGGCTCCCACTTCACATGAGGAATGACCATGATGTCCATGTGTACCTCTGATGTCCCTCATGTTATAAAACCCTAAGTGAGCCCGGGAAGAAGCAGTTCTATTTCACGCTCCCTGTTCTGACCTCTCCTGGCTCTTTCTCTGGTGTCTTGGTGACTCTGGTTTCTGTGTGGCCTGAGAACACTCAGGAAAGAGTCTATAGTGATTTCTAACTCACAACAGCAAAACCACATGTCCCATGAATCCTCTATACTCGTTTTGCTGTCACCATTGACAGGGCCCTCACTCACTGGGAATTTCTAAGTGCCAGATGTCTGTCCCAGCTTTTATGTGGCTAAGATGCTGGGATACCTGCAGGTCAATGTAAGCATGAGATCCACCAGCAAGGGCAGTGCAGAGAGACCATGCTCCATGGAGGTCCAGTGGTGTCTACTGGCCCATGGCATGGCAGTGACAAGAGCCTCTCGTGGGGGTGAGGTGTGATCTGCCCTTTCAGACACTGAGGCTGCTCAGTGATGTGGTTCATGTTGGAGTCTCTGAAAGAAGTCAACTTCATGAGTTGAGAATAGTCTCACCTGGGTGTAGGTTTTGAGCCCACTCTGTGCTTCTCAGCGATTCTCGCCTGTCCTGCTCTCATGACCAAAGTTCTGGAAGTCAGAGAACCACAGGGCTAAGATGCTTCTGTGTGTATCTGACTCCAGTCTGGAAGAAAAACACATGTAATCTGAAAATTAATTTTAGATATTTATGTTAGATCAGCTACACTTTATGACCACTTTCTTAATATTTAGGGAGTGTATAGAGTCAGCTGAGGTTTTAGTAGAGGACTATAGCTATCATACAAAGCTTATAGGATAATTCAAGGTGATTTACTTTGGTAAACCCACTTTGGTAAATTCTACAATTGTCTTAGTCTTAGCAGTTGAAGCACAGTCTCCTGGTACAGTTGGAAGTTAGAGTAACAGACTCGTTGGTACACTCATACACCCAAATGCAAATCCAGAGATTGCTTTTTTTTTTTTTAAACTTGTGGTTAATCTTTGGGGATAAGAAATTGAATCCAGAAAGTGAATAAATATGATTGAGATCATTTGATAAGCAGTGCCAAAGAGTGGAGGAAAATAAAGACCAAGGAGGGAACACACTGTTTGCCTTCTGTAAAGAAGCGTGATGTAGTCAGCTTTGACTGTGGTGTGCTGGTTTTCACATTAAGGAACAAAGTTCAGCTGTGTTTGATGAAGCGACAGCTACGAGTGCAGTCAGCCTAACGCAGCAATTGTGTGCCTGTAGGTAAACCAGCAGATGGCTGGCCTGAGTGTGAGCGGCACAGCCCCTGCGGCGGTCTTCAGCCAGCCAGCCAGCACCACAGCAGGCTGGGCAGGAAGCTCGTCGGGGCAGACCCTCAGCACTCAGCTGTGGAAGTGAGCACTGCTGCGGGAGTCCATCCAGACCCACGGCCAACATTCCTCGCCAAACGCATTGAGCCCCGTCTCCTCATGTACATACATTTTTCTTTGTGCCCATTCGTCCTACTGAGAATTCTCCGACAGCTGTGTGGTCCTGCCGACTCGGTCGATGAACCACCTCACGTCGAGGGTGGCCTACTCCGTTTCCCGCGATGTCCTCGGCCACAGAATTGAGACGCTGCTCAGTCGACGTGCATAATCAGTTTCACTCTCAATAAAATTATAGCTCTGACGTTTGCGTATAAGGGAAGTAGTTATCATGTTAGTAATACCTCTAACAGTATACCCCCACCCCAAATTAGCCGGTAATTCTGTAGGAAGGTCCTGTATGATCAGATGTTTAATCCTATAAATAGAATGTCAGCGTATCACAGAGCACTGGATGTAGTGTGTTGAGATCCTCCTGTCCCATCCTTCACTGTGCTGTGGTCATGGTGTGTGGGGAACGTGGCTGTGAAAGGAAGATAAGCCTGGATGTTACTACGGAATCTGGATTAATGAATGTCTAGAGTTCGGATTTTATCTGCCTCTCTGTAATTGGGATTCCTCTTCTGTACATAGTGCTTACGTGAAGACCTTTTCTGCACTATATGCAAACAGGGTAACTAAAACAAAGCCACTTTCAACTCTTGAAGGTATATCCAGGTTTATGACAGTAATTGTGTTTACATTTTTTGGTGCCTAGTATTGACAAATGTTATTTCCCTATATTAAACAGATGGATCCACAGCCCTCTCATTTGTGGGTATTTATTTCCTACGACATGAACCACCACCAGCTTTCCACACTCACTCAATGTCAGGAATTGGGAATGTTTTGCTGACAAAATACTTGTCTGTTTAAAAACCTGTCCAGTTCCTCCAGTTATCAAGACAGACTGGGGATAAAGAGGAAAATGCATAAGATACTCAGCAGCAGGCATCCTGCAGTGTCACTTGACTGTATCAGGCAGAACCTTCCAATAGCTGCAGGGAACATGCAGGACACGAGGTCACAGCACACACCTGTGCCTCTGTCAGCGTCCATGACCGACTGGCGCCTGTGAACGGTGTCCGTTGGGTGACTGGAAAGGCTGCTGCACTGCAGTTGGGACCTGAGCCTCTGCAGCCTCCTGTCCCCGTCACACTTGAGGCCACGTTACCTCACACCTCGATGTTCACAGTGTCCAGGTGGTACTTGGGCTCATTGGCCAGGTTCACCTTCTCGGTCCGTGTGTGCCACACAAGCACCTGGAGGAGAGGAGACCACATGTTGGGCGGCCACACCTCAGGGCACATGGGGTGGCCGCACGCTGGACTCACTTACCTGGGTGCAGTTGTTGGCTTTGGGCTCCAGCTCTTCAACGGTTGTTATCTGCCTTAGAAAGTCAGACTCCTGCATCCCTGGCTGGGATCCGCGACGCCTGAACACAGCTTTCGGGTTGGACAAGATGACCTGAAGACTGACAGCAAATCCTTTGTAGAAAGTTAAAGAAAAAAGACTTTAAAGTAAAATACTGGCATTGTCTCTTTCTTGGTGACATCAAAAAGAGTGTTATGAATACCTACTCTTGGTCAGGTCTTGGTTTACAAGTTGAATGGGAAAGTCAAGGAACATGTAGCCTCACTGCCAATCCCCACCCCAGTCTCCCAGGGTTAGTGTGCGCCCTGAGGTGCTTTAGCAGGCAGACAGTGCAGTGGCCACGTGTTTTTCTAATAAAAGATGTGGGGAGAGCACAGTTCAGACATTCCTCAACCAGCTGCCTCCGTTTCTCTTGTCCAGGGCCTGCTCAGTGATCTCTTGGAAGGAAGCAGGTCACAGCCAGTAGGAGGGACTGCAAGTGATGCTGCCCTGGGGTGCTCCAGCCTGGCAAGCGTCTGAGGCTCCTTCAGTTCAGGCATTACAGCTCGAGTGTTACGTCTTCCCTTGGTTAGTGAGGTTAGTTTATCTTTGAAGATGTTGCAGTGGCTTCTGAGATACTGGGAGCCTTACAAGAACAATGGGAGGAAGATTTTCTGCCCTGGTCAGTTGTGTAAAAAATGAAATGCAAATGAAAACTGGCCATTCTCTTTGAAGGCAGGATTTCCTGACCTTTTCAGCATTAGGTGGGGAAGGTACAGAGTCACCCTTGGTGTCCACGTGTCCTGCAACTGTGGATTCAACTAACCACAGGTCAAAAATATTTGGAGAAAATAATACAGATTTTAAAACTATAAGGTATAACAACTATTTATGTAGTATTTGCATTATATTAGGTATTATAAGTACCCTAGAGGTGATTTAAGTATACGGGAGAATGAGCACTGGTCACATGCAAATACTGTACCATTTTATATCAAGGACTTGAGCATCTGTGGATTTTGGTGTCTGTAGTGGCTGGCCCTGGAGCCAGTTCACTATGGACACTGAGGGATGACTGTCCCTCCCAGGCAGAGGGATGGGGCCTGCCTTACTGTGCTCACTGGCTGCCAAGGAGAAGATCTATAGGACCTTGCAAGTCCAACGAGCCATTTCCACTTCTGGACAAGACAGAGCACCAGGGCCTGGTCTCCTCCTACTGTTTTAAATAACTAAAAATCAGACCAAATATTTGAAAAAAGTTTCTAGACAATGGAAAAGAGGCACACACAATGAGATCTCTGAGAAAAGAAACATGCCCTCTATAACTGCCCCAGCCTCTGCCTGAAGGATGTTTCTAGACTGTACCACGGGGAGGGGACCTGCATGGCTCTGCAGCCTCCTTGAGGTGAAGAAACAATGGAGACTAGACTTTGTAGGGCAGAGAACTGGAGGGAGAGGCTTTGTTGACCTGCCAAGGCTCTCCACAAGCCTTCAACTGGGTATGATCAGCAGATGCTCACAAAGCCACCTGGGACCAGTAAAGAACTGCTGGAAGGAGCAGGTGAGTCCACTCTTGGGGCTTACTCAGGCTGGGAATAGTTCACACAACAGAGTGGAGTGATCTGGTGACAGCCAGGTGCCTGGAGGAGCACTGGGAAGGCAGTTGGTCCATTGTGGGGTCATGTCAGCCCTGCTCAAGAGGCTGAGCCACTACTGCCTAATGGACTTTTAAAAGCAGGCCTGGCAAGGATCAGTGTGTTTCCACACTGATTTAGTTGCGTCCCAGTTCAAAGTTCATAATATTTGCATATATATAGATTACACATTTGTTTTTAGATGTTTGTGTGTATATACACAAATCACACACACACACACACACACACACACACACACACACACACACACACACACTATATGTATCTAATGCCAGCAATGGAAAAGTTGACATGTCCAAGACAAAAATCACCAGGTATATACAAAGAAGCAGGAAAACATCCCATAACGAAGAGAACAGTCAGGCAACAGAAATAGAGCCAGAAATGACACAAATGATAGAATTATGGGACAAGGACATTAAAACATTAGGAGTATACTTCCTGTGTTCACAGAGAAAGAGGAAAGACTCGGCATGCTAACAGATGCAGAAGATGTGATAACCAGAGTCATCTTGGTGATGAGAAGTATAATGTCTGAGGTGAAAAAGATACTGGGTGGCGTTGACAGCAGAGACATTGTAGAATAAAAGAATAAACCTGAACACTGATAAAAACTACCAAAATGAAACAAATAAAAAGAACAAAACACATGCAAAGTCACAGAACAGAATGAAAGGCAAATGGGAGGCAAAAGAAAATAAACAATGTCTGAAAAATGTCCAAACAGGAAAAATCAGGAGGGAGTTATAAGACCCAAACAATACTGTCAATAGACCTAAAGGACAGACACTCCACCCAACAACAGCAGAATACACAATCTTTCTATGTGTACATGGAACACTGTCAAGATAAACCACAGTCTGAGCCATAAATCAAGTCTCCATAAATTTAAAAGAATTCAAATTGTACAAAGTGTGTGTTCTGACCATAATGGAATTAAAATTAAAATCTGCAATATAAAGATACCTAGAAAATGCCCCCAATACTTGGAAAGTAAACAACAAAATTCTAAAAAAATTTCATTATTCTAAAAAACATCCTAAATGCATTCTCTAAAAAATGAGAAAGTGACTAGCTAAAAACTAGACATATCAAAATGTGTGAGATGCATCTAAGCAATGATTAGATGAAGTTATTTTTCTTAGCATTAAGCATTTACTAGATAAGAAAGGCCTCTACTCATAAAGTAGAGGACTGAAACCCTAAGTAATAGGGAAAAGGTACTAATAAACACGAAAAGAAATCACCGATGAAGATAGAAAACATTTACACTGAGAAACAGCTCCATTGGGGGTGAGAGGGGGATAGAAAACATTAAGATCAGTGACATAAGAACCTAGACCTTTGGGGACCAAAAAAGTCAATAAAGTTGATTAACATCTACCTATACCAGGAAAAAGAGAAGACACAATATCAGAAATGAAAGATATCAGTGTAGGTTCTACAATCATTAAAATGATAATAAAAGAACATTATAAGCTACTTTTTATGGCAGTAAATTGACAACCCTTAGATCAAAACAAATACCTTGAAAGACAGGCTACCAAAGCTCACTCAAGAAATAGATAATCTGTAAGAGCCCTGTATCAACTAAAGAAATTAAGTTTATAATTTAAAATCTTCTCACATACATACATATAACCCTACATGCCCAGAGAGCTTCAGTGGCAAATTCTGAACATTTAAGAATAATGGTAGCAAATATCCACAAATTTTTTCTAGGAAATAGAAAAGGTTCTGAGACCAGCATTACCCTGATACCAAAACCAGACAAAAACATTACAAGACAACTAGAGACCAACAATCCTCATGAATACAGAAAAAGACTCAAAATTTTAGCAAATCAATTTTGATGCCTTTTAGTGCTTCTGCCATTTTCTGTTTCACCTCTTCCACATTAGCAAAACGTTTCCTTTTGAAGACTTCTTTCCTCCAAGGAAATGAAAAACAGTCACTTGGGGCTAGATTGGATGAGTAGGGAAGATGAGGTATGGAGGTCATGTCTTTTTTTGTCAAAAGCTACTGGACACTCAGTGTGGTATAGGCAGGTGTGCTCATAAGTCACCCATCACAAAATGAGCAAACATGTTGACAGAATTGTCAAAAAGAAAAACTGCTGAAGCCAAACACAGCCTCTCACAACACTAGCTGGTGCACTGATACCAGTAGGTTTCTAGAACATTTGCTTATCAGGGGAAGTCTATACAAGGGGCCCACGCTCCAAAAAAATTCTCTTTTTGGGGGGGTGCCCCCTCATAGGTCCATTCCCCCCCTTTGTGCTGTTTTTGTCATAAAAATTATATCTTTATACATTTTGTGCCCCTTAAGCCAGATGTTTAATTATTGCTTTATGCAGTTTTTAAAAACAGAAGAAAACAGTTACAGGCAATGCCTTTCAAATTTACCTATGTAGTTACCTTTACTAGTTTTTTTTAATTAGTTCATATGATTTACAATTATTGTCTCATGTCTTTTCACTGTAGCCTGAAGGACTCCCTTTACTATTTCCTGTAAGGCACAGGTGCTAGTAATGAATTTTCACTACTCCATTTTTCAAGGATAGCTTTGCTGGATAATTCTTGGCTGATAGTTTTTTTCTTTCAGTACTTTGAATCTATCATCCTGTTGCCTTATGGCCTCTAGTTTCTAACAAGAAATCAGCTGTTAATCTTACTGAAGATCCTTTGTTAACCATATTTACTTTTCTTTTGCCGCTCTCAAGATTCTTTTCATCATTGGTTTTCAGTTGATTATGATGTGACTAGGTGTGAATCTTGAGTTTGTCCAACATAGAATCCATTGAGCTTCTTGGATGGGTAAAGTTTTCACACAAAGTTTGAATGTTTTTAATTATTATGTCTTCAAATATTCGTTCTTCCCCCTTCTCATTTTCTGGGACTCACAGTTTGTAGTGGTACAATTTGTATACTGGTACATTTCAGAGACTCTGAGGCTCTGTTCATTTTTCTTTGCTCCTCAAGTTGGATCATTTCAATTTATCTGCTGAAATCTGCTTTGGGCCTCTCTAGTGATTTTTTTCATTTCTGCTAGTATACTTTCCAACTCCAGCATTTCTATTTAGTTCTTTAAAATATATATATATTTCGTAGCGAGACCTCGTCTCTACAATAAATCAAAAATCAGCTGGGCATGGTAGCGCATGCCTGTAATTTCGGCTACTTGGAAGGCTGAAGCAGAAGGATCGCCGGAGCCCAGCAGTTCAAGGCTGCGGTGGCCGGGAGCGGCCACTGCACTCCAGTCTGGGTGACAGAGTGAGACTCCAACTCAAAAAATAAAATAAAATAAAATAAAATATATATATATTTCTATCTCTTTTTTGATAACCTCTATTTGGAGACACCATTCTAATGTCTCCCTTCAGTCATTTAGACATGATTTCCTTAAGTGCATATAGTTAAAATGTCTGATTTAAAGTTTTCATCTAGTAAACCCAATGTCTAGACTTCTTCAGGGATAGT